ACCCCTAAAATTCTATGAGTCTATGATTCTAAGCACCAAAAAATGCCTAATTCTGGACAGTGTTCAGAACTGCTACCTCTGCACATTCAAAAACGGAAGAATAGAATGTGTGGCAGCTCAGGAAGAAGCAAGAAGGAAAGAGTTGCAAAATCAAAATGTTCAATGTTAATACATTTGATGCCAAATGTTGCCCCAAAACAGATGAACAGGGGCACAAAGTGAATACACATGCAGCTAACATTTCACTGATCTGAGATTAGCCAGTAAGTTAGTTCCTTTTCTGTTTTCAAGGATACACAGCACATACAGTCACACAGCAGGTACACAGTCAGTGTTTTTCCACATCCTTTCCCTCTGAAGTGAATCTTTCAGTTTGTCCTGAAGGCAGTAACCACAAAACTTTCCTACTGAGTGCTTTAGATGTGCCTAATGATGGCAAGGACAGAGCTCTGCCAGCCTGTCCACAGAGAGCATGAACTGATCCACTTCTCAGTGGTCATCTCTGTATCCCAAACTCCCACAAGTCATGATGCCACTGCCCCAGAGGCCTCTCAGAAAGCTTTGGGAGACTATTCTTACTCTGAATGTCATTTTTGGGCATAAACAGTGCCAGAAAGGTTTATTCCTAAATAAAAGAAAGAAACCTCTTAACATCAGAGAAATGAAAGATAGCCCTCAGACCAGCGTGAACTCCAGGATCAGCTTCAAAGCTAGATCATGTTTTTTGAAGTCATACTATGAACAAGACTAGTTAAAAAATAAATTCCCAACAGCAGACAACCTCTGATGAGCAATCCACCTCCAGACATTCAAGTCAGGACTTGACACCCCAGAAATCAGTACGTTCTGGTGTGCACTGAGAGCCAGAGGTGCCTTCACAGGAGGGTAACTGACTCAGCACCAAAATGGACTCTGGAAAGATCTGTTCATGCTCTTCACTAGTTTCTCTGTAGAGCTGCACACGACCTTCCAAATAACAAAAGGTGTATCAGAGCCAGGACAAGTATTGTGTCTGGAGTGAGAGGCAGTTGTGGAGATCACTTCATTTATCGGTGGAAGTAACTTCTTAGGACTGGAGTTAACAAACTCACAGGTGTGACAATCCCCTCACCATGTCAAAGGTCTGACACCAGAAACTGAAGGCACCTTAATGAATCCATGCCAAAACTCAAACTCTGGAAGACTCTCATGTTTTATCACAAAGAGCAATGGTGATGTCTTTGCCTTCACGTGATGTACTTGAGCCTGGAGTTACTGTGTTTGCAACTAGAGCTAAAAAATCTAGCCCAAAAATCCTTTGCACCATCAGGGTGAATCTGATATGTTAAGGAGTAGGAATTACACTTGAACTGGATCAAGGGGAAAGTGGAAACCTTTAGTCTTAGATTTCATGGGATACTACTGGCATGAGACACTGCTTTGTGTGGGCACTGAAGGTGCACCTGATGGACAGTAAGGGAAGTATCAAGCACTCTGAAGAGGAATGTGTTCTTTTATCCAAGAGTTAATACATCAGGAGGCAGAGGTAAAGTTTCTCCTTCAACTGATTAGTTAAGCAAGACAGGCAAATTAACCCAAGTCTGTTCTAGAACAAAGTTATAACAATACCAACACCTTGAACAGAAAAGCTGAATTTGCTAGTAACAAGCAATATTGGCCTTTTTGTACATTATCAGACAGTTGCTATGCAGCAGGTTCAAAATGCAATCATGACCTCAACAAAAAAAACTGGTGATAGAATGTAAGAGAAATATAATGAGATATTTTAATAGCCAGGGCTAAGCAGTCTTACATTTAAGCTCTTACTGGCCAAGCAGCACAAGTCCCCTGGGTTGTCAGTGTTGCGGATGTCCACGTCATGAGGAGACACAAATATCTTCTCATTCTGGAAATCAAAAAACTCCACCTGCCTCAGGCCCACATTGGCTGGATTCCCCCAGTTGGACAGAAGCTCCATAGTCACATAAATGGCATCATGTACTTCTTGACTGGATGTCACCTGGAGCAAAATGAAATATGATGAAAACATAAGTGACAAAACACTAAAATGTGGAACAAAACAAAGACTCTTAAGAGTGCAATGCTGATGGGTCAGAAGTAGAAAGCTTATCTGGATGACATTCAGTCATTCTGGGTTCCACCAATTCTGCCCCACATCACCAGTCTTAAAAAGCCTAAAGAGAAAACAGCTCTTTGTTCTTTCCCTGATAGAAGTGTATTAGTTGATGTGGGTTAGAATCTGTGGAACACAGATGCACTTTTGTTTCAGTAATACTGGGAAGCATCAATTATGGTGCATATATGCACAAACCTTCTCTCTCAAGATGGGATCTACTTCAGCTTTGTCACCAGACCAGGATCTGTCATTAGCACAAGCAGAATGGCTCTCAGGCTGTGGAAAGACCTTCAGAAGTATCTTCTTTTGTCTGAAACAACATAATCTTTTATGCAATACCTCCTCATATTTCCTGTGTTTTTAAAGGAATAATTTAGTTGGTATGAAGGTGAAAAGGTGATAGGATGAACCCACCCCCACCCCCCCCCGAAAAGTTCATGTACCCCCAGGCTGAAGGACACCTTGCAGCCTTCTGCCTTAGATACACAGAGGTTGGTTAAAAACCTGTGCTCCAGCTCACAGCTGAGTCTGAGGCAGTGTGAGAAAGGAATGCACAGGTGAGAGAAATACAAACACAGATGTTGGCACATCCCTGACCCACAGAGACTGGCCCAAGGCTGGAACTTTTTCCCTGATTTGGTACTACTTGCATGATGTCTCAGGTGTCTGAAGATCACCAGGTGCAGTGGCATGAAACCACTAAAGAAAATCTCTCTTCAGAAAAGGAACTCAGCCTAAAGCAAATATATATACCTGCTCCCAACAGGACAAATTCTCTCCACAGCTTTTGTGACTGCAGTACTTGTCTGGCTTTTTTCTGGAGGCTCAGCCATTGCAGAAACAACAGATGAAACAGAAAATTTCTTCTAAGTAAGAAAAAGATGGACACGTTTCATTCAGATTGTTCTCCACATACCAGTGAGTATCAGTCTGCATCTCTGGAACAAATCAAAGTTTGGGCCCAGCTCATCTGTAACTCTATACTGAGCTAAAGCACAGTTAACAGAACTGATCACAGTCTTGATTTGCAATGAAACAGCTGAGCTTGCAGCTTGATCTCCTGTGTGGAAGACAAGGAACATAAAAGCATGCTCTGGGGACTGTTCAGTGTGTGTGTATAGATCTGTACTGGAAATTCCATTTGGTAGGGCTCAGAGTTGGCCAAAGCCTTGGCACAGGTCTGCTAGACTTTCTCTTCCTCCAAAAATGAACCATAAAGACTTTCAAAGCCCCAAACTCCTCAGTTTTATTAGCACAAAACATAGTTCTGCATTTAAAAAGTAAAGCAATCAGTAGTGACTACCTAAGAGATTGCTCATTTTTATGATTTTTTGGTTTATGAGTTTTTGATTGTTTTAAAACATGGTTGTTGGAGACAAGAGATGTACATGCATTGATGCAGAAAACCCACAGCAGCTCCTCCTCAGTAAGATCTAGCAATGTCCATGACAGCTCTGCTCCAAAAGCAGAGGATGTACTAACAGGGAACAGTGCCCATATTAATGAGTCCAGTAGGAAGTTAGGATTTATTGGGATGCAAATCAAATATTATCTTGTTTAAGAAGCTTCCAGGATGAAAATGGCTCAACTGGGCCTGCAGCTGTGCACTTGACTGTATAGACAGATCATATGGCTGGTCTATCAGTTGCTCAGTGATCCCTGTAATCAAGAGAGAGCTGCAGGATGTTATGCTGAGGAAGCAGATTAAGAAAACAACCCTATGGAAGAATAATACAAATTCAATTACACTTCAGAGGCATCACCATTCAATCGTGCATGATCCTAATGTGCAAAGGATTGTCATTCCTGGGGGTTTTGCTACTTGATCAAACAGCTCTCTTCTCTACTTTGCCATACCTTTTGTGAGCTTGTGGAAACTGTTTGCCTCAGCAGATCTCTCTGCAAGATTTCATTTTCAATACGCATTGCTTGAAGCACAGCTGAAACAGACTGATCAGGATCCTTCTCACACATGTTCTTCCTAGTTGCTGACAGTGGCCACTCTGGTCGACTCAAGGGCCCTGGCACCACGAGAAGGAAGAAACATTCATTTGCTTGGACATACAAGGGAGGAACATTACACAGCACATATGTGAAATATCTGATCTGAGCACAAGTGCCATGAGGAGAGGCTGAGGGAGCTGGGGGTGTTCAGCCTGGAGAAGAGGAGGCTCAGGGGAGACCTTCTCACCCTCTGCAACTCCCTGACAGGAGGTTGGAGTCAGGTGGGGGTTGGTCTCTTCTCCCAGGCAACCAGCAGCAGGACAAGAGGGCACAGACTCAAGCTCTGCCAGGGGAGGGTTAGGTTGGATATTGACATCATAATATTCTTATTTCTTACTAGAAGAAATCCTTTCCTGTCTTTCCTGGTGCAGGAACCCAGCAGAGAGTGGCCGAGTGGCTTTGCGTGTTACCAGGACTGGTCTGACAGGGATGTACAACTCAGCACTGTCCTTTCTCTTTACTGAGAGAACATGCTTTGCCTTCACTTCTGCAAGGTAATAAGGAAACACAAATAATCAACTTTCAAGTTCTTTAGGAGCAGCCAGCCTGGGAAAAATGATCTTAACTGCTAGAGTTTTGCCACTTTAATTCTGTTGGCATAGGTAAAATGGTAACCTCCATGCTCCCCCCCTCTCACTGACACTGTTCTGTTGATGGAGAAGCAAATGTGCATTGTTTGCACTAACTTATGCAAACAAAAGTATTATAATCTACCAATATATCTCATCTCTACCAGACATTTACCTGCATTCATGTCAAGAAAAGCAAATCCAAAATAACTCCCGAGTCACTTGTTAACACAGTTATACCAAAACAAGTTCTTAAAATACAGACCAAAATATTCCTGTTTAGGAGTTACAGAGGAGGAGAGGGCTGCCTAGTGTAGTTCATGGGAGTACTTTTCTTTTTTTATTTGACAATTGTTTACAGCTTTGAGACTTCCTTCTGAACAAAAAAAATCCTGCACTTTCCCCAAAGATCATCATCTCACTGCAGCTCCATCCCTTTTTCCTATCTCTTCCTCTACACCCTCCCCATTCACACTCCACTCACATCTATGCTAATGAGAGCAGCACTCAATTTATTCCAAGATTGTTCTTCTTAATTTATGCAATTTACTACAGATTAAAAAAAACCAAACCCCAACCAACAACCAAAACCAATTACTGCACCTAAAATGAGTGGGGAGGGAATTTGGATTATTGAATGTAGGTCTAGGTCTGGTTTCTGCCTGAACTCTCCACCTTTAGCAAGCTAAACAGCTTTGAGACTCAGTAATTGGTTGTGGGATTGAGGTGTCCAAAGGAGACAGAAAGAAGTGGTTCAAATCTTTCATCAGGGATGAATAGCACATACTGTGACAACAAGTATCCAGTACCCAGGATGTCAAATCAGCTTGAGAGTGGGAAGGTTTGGCTGCCTGGATTACTGCAAAAACCATTCAAAAATATGTTAAAACCATAATAATCTCTTGAGAAATCTCATAGACAGTCTCAGACAATCGTAGTTTCAGTGTCTAGGCCTGGTGATGCAGGGGCATTAACCAGGGCTATACCTCTGCTTTGCAAAAAAAAAAAAAAAAGTCCTTAATATAGTAGCAAGAGGATGCAAGTCTCCCAAATCAGGAGATTTGAGAGCATTATGAGAGTATGGACTAACCCCTAAAGGTTAACCAGCAGCCAGTCCCTTACAAGCAATGCTCACTCAGAGAATGATTGCAGTGCAGTGTGGTGTCTAACACAGAGACTCACTAGGATCCTGGCTGAACTCCAGCACAGTAGGGACACCAGAATCAAGGCCAGAGCATCTCCCACCATCCTGATGTTCAGGAGCTTCTTTCTGCAGTGACCCACTGCTATGCAACTCAAGGCCTTCAAAGCTTGGCATTGCTTCCTCAGTGGGAGATGGCTCTGAAATCACATCCTCTTCAACAGAGTCACAATCCTCACAAAGAGAGTCTTCCTCCATCCTTTCCTCTTCTGTACTGCATTGCAAGCTTCTGCTCAAACCCTGCTGCAATACAAAGAAATTGTCAGGAAAACTCAAAAGTGTGTTTTAAAATAAACCAGTGTGGCTGCCTCTTCCTCCCTAGGAGAAAGAAAAATCCTCTCATGAATTGAGAGTAGTGATGCAGCCAGAAATGTTCACATTTCCCTGTCATGTCTGCACTCCTCTGAGGAGGGTTTGTAAAGGAAAAATCATCCTACAACACCTTTGTCCCTTATCATCCGAATCCTTGCAGGAACATTCTGTAGGCCAAGGAGTTTTTACAAGCAAAAATCAATTTTTAGGAGCAAGTTACAAACAGCAGGTAAGGGACAGGGCAAGGACGTGTATTTTTCCAGTCTCACACAGCTGTTGCTATTGGAAGAGTCTCTGCAATCCAGAATTTCCAAATGTGTTCACAAGACTGCCAAGCTCATGTAACAGCAACTTCTTTAGAAGCACTTGGATAGATTGTAATAGTCCTGTCTGGTACACATCTGGACTTCAAAAACCAGTAGAAAAGAGTTGAGGTCTAATGGGCTGAGCTTCCAGTTTGCACAGACTCCTTTGAAGTGGACACACTGTAACCGGATTTCATCCAAAAATTAATCTATTTTGAAATTTACTGAGGAAAAAAACTGCCCTTCCTCTCTCATCACATGCCACAAACAGCACAGATGATGCTGGAGAGCTGTGTGCCTTGATGAATGCAAAAGGGAAAGACCTGGCATTTTTAAATGCTTTTTCTCCCCTGCTTTGTTGGTATTAGAGTTTTGAGATAAATACAGGTAAACAGACTGAGGAAAATGAAAACCTGAAGCCACGTTGGGTACAAATGAGCTGTGACAAGTGTATGTTCAGCTTGCAATGAAAGCTTCAAGGTGTTACAGATTACACTTGTTAGGAAATCTGTGTTGACAGAAACATTTTACAAAGAGCTGCCAAAGGTAGGTTCAAATGAGGGTTTATAAGCAACCTGAGCCTTGAGATCCAGCATGTCCTCGTGACAGTCAAGACTAATATTTCTAGTTATTTGCCAGGAAATTGTACAAAGCTTTCTTTTAGTTTGAAACCTCATGCACCTGCATGAGTCAAGACATTCAAAAAACACATTGTAGCTTCAGGAGAATCCAAAATATTTCCATTTGGAATAAGGAGAAAAGTTGGGTCTTGGTTTAAAATTATTAGCTTAGTACTTACACATAGAAGATTCTAAATATCCATCACTGTAAAGAAGTTACCAGTTTGTAAAGCAAAAAAAAAAAATCATCATAAACTTGAGAGCAATGTAGGAAAGAAAGATGTAAGCTGGGAAAATGTGCTTGGGAAGTTTCTCTGATGTCAGTAGTAGCATCTGTAGACAGTTCCATATACACATGCTACTCCACTACCCAGAAAAGCTTTATGTATGCCACTAATTGAGTAGGCAGAAAAACATTGATAAGTTTTGCTCATTTACTCGTTTTTTTAAGGATAGTTGTGAAGTGTGTTAGAACAAACTGCAATCAGTAATAAAATGGAAGGCTACACAGTCCAAACAATAACAGTCCTTGATGAAAAGCAACTGCATTGATTAGAATATTTTCTAAACTTCAGTCTGAGTTTTGTTAGGTAAAACAGTGACATGTGACAATTTTAGCATCATTATTCAAAGACTAACCCAAACCCAGAAAAGGCTGTTGTTTAAGCTTACTCTAACCTGACAGGCAGGAGTGACATTCACATGGACAACCATCAAGTGAACTGCAAGAGGCTCCCTGCAGGAAATCAATGTTGGATTGATTCAATCCAACAGGACAATATTCTACCTCTTACAAAGAGGACTTCATATTTTGCAGTGCTGTTGAAGGAGATGAGATTTTCAGAGTCTTTACTTTTCATTTTTTCCTTCTTTTTGTCACATCTCATCAACGCAAAATCACAACCTGAAGAAACCACTATATACTGGGTTTGCATGCTCCAGCTAAGATTGATAAACTGACACTTCCATGAACAAGAGAAGGCAACTGCCAGTTGTACCTGGGAGGAATGGAGAGGATCATCACCATCTGTTTCCACACTCAAGCTTTCATAAGGTTCAAAATCCTCAGAGTACTCCAGAGATGGTTTAATGTAGAGTTTATCCCCTTTTTCTGTTCTAATTGTCACAGTTTTCTGTGAAAAGGAGCACACAGAGAAATTAGATTTCTTTTGTGCTATCGGCAGTAGGAAAGAATAATCATCACATTTGACATAACAATGTCTAAATCAAGCACTACTTTTCCCCTCTGTTCCAGAGAAGGTTTCTGTCTGTCCTGAGCTCACCTTTGAGCTCTGGCATTATGGTTTAACTGGTCAAACTCCCCAGCTGCTGCTGTCCCCAGAGTGGGTCAGGCCCTGCACACATCATGTGTTGGGCATTCAAGTGAGTGTCCATCAGGGTTAACCCTCTCACCTCCCCAGGTAAGTGGAAAAACTTCTAAAGTTTGCTGCAGACATTTTCCACAGGGAGAAGTCTCAACTCAAGCTATGCAAATTACACTTGTGTGTGTCTCAATACTACTGCAGAGTGACAGGCAGGGATGCCTCTCCAAAATTAGTTTCTCCACCTTTCACACTAGAGAAATTCTCTGCCAACAGAGATGTCCAGTGATATAGCTATTCTGCTGGAGGATACACTCAACCAGTCAAGGTTTCTGTGACAGGCATCACTGAGAAGACCTTTGCAAGGAGATGTGCTGCTTTAGCCTTCAAAGCAGACACAAAACCCACCAGGGTATAATTTCACATGGTCACTCAGCATCCAGACCAAGACAAGACTCAGATTCAAGGAGAATTCCAACTGCCCTCTATCTACTAGTTGCAAACAATTCCCCCTAAAATCATTTACGACCTAAGAATTAATTCCCAGACATATTCTTTCCAACTGCCTCTTACCTGCAGCCAACTTCTGCGTTGTACCTTGCTTGGTGCACTCTGTGTGCTGCATTCTTGGGCCTTCCTCTCTCCTAGCTTGGCTGATGTTTCAGGACAGAGAGGTAAGAATTAGAAGACAAAGTAAAAATACAAGATGTGACAATATACCCGTTAATTCTCATTTTGATTTTGGTTTGATGTCTTTCTTTTCCCCAGCTGAGGACAGGGGAGTGAGTGTTGGACATGGGAATGGTATCACAACAGCAGAAAAGTCAGTCCATTTTAGACACTGACCAGTTGTGGGTTTGTTGAAGTTTGGAACAAGGGCATCACCAACACTCTCAGTAGCATCCTAAATAAAGGCATCTCATTTCCTATGGCCAAGACAGATTTACAGCTTCCATTTCTTCTCAGTGGAGAAAAACAGCTGATGCAAAGCTTTTTTTTCTTTAAGCCATAATTTAATGGGCACCCTAAGCCAGCAGAAACCAGCACTACCAATAAGAGAAGGAACTGTCCTACAAAGGTCATAGAATCACAGAAAGATTTAATTTGGAAGGAACCTCTGGGGTCACCTAGTCCAGCTTTCCAGTTAAAGCAGGGCTTACTTCAAATTAGATCAGGCTGTTCATTACAACTCTCAATAGCACATTTTCTTTCCTGGGTTGGATGACCCTACATGTACCTGTGTGGTGACCTGTTCAGAGAACTGATATGGGCAAGTTTTCACTGAGGAGAAACAAAAGACTACTTTTAATTACAGCCTCTTGTGTAATCTGCCTTGGCAGGGCCTTGGGCTAGATGGTCCAGAGGTCCCTTCCCACCTCAGCTGTTCTGTGAATCTGGTTCACTGTGAGACTGCACAAATGCTGGTACAAGCAGATAGGAGAGAACAGGTACAGGGCAGGACAATTCCTGGGGGAATAGTGTGTGCTTATGTTAATTTAGTGTGATCATAACGTTCCAGAGCAAGAACAGGATGTTGTTCTACTGCTTCGGCACAAAGTATCTGACTCTTAGGCATGAAAAGGACTAGGAACAGAGGGGGAAAGGAATGGATTGGTACAAGGAAAAAACACAGTCCTTCCCAGCTAGAGCTCCAGCTACTCCATTAGGCTATTCCTAATTAACTCCAGCAATACTCTGCAGTCATTAGCATTGGGGCTGATTGCTGTGGAGCTCTTGTGGTACTGAGGGTAAACTGGCCTGAGGTTACAATACTACAGGTGTGGACAGATTCAGTCACTGCTTTGGGCAGATTTGGAAGCACCTTGCACTTTCAGTCCTGAAGGAATCCACCTCTTCTAACTGCCCAGAAGCCACTCGTGTCCTACAGATGAAAGTAGGAAAGGCGGATGGGGTAGGCCTGTTGCTACCACTGCTGAGTATTTGGTTCTCAGGATTATATAAGTATTTAGTGATGGACCCATGTGTGGGGAGTGGCCTGGCTGCATTCAGCAAGGCTCCAGCATGTCTGGGCTAGCCAGGGGATGTGTTAGGACTTGTTGCCTGAGGGCCTTGGGAAGAGTAGGTGTGGACATGGGACCCTTGAACAGAAAGCGCCTGCGTGCTGGCTCACCAGCCCCGAGTTGGGAAGTTGCTGGGATGTTGCTGGGGTAAAACAACAAGTTGTTGTGCCTTAGGTTGACCAATTGGTACACACCTAATGTTTAAAATAAGCCAATCAGCAGGGAATATGCTAAGCAAAGGGACTATAAGGATTTGTGAAAAACAACAATAAACGGACATGTTGCTTGCATCAAGCTGCGTCCCGTCTCTCCATCGCGGCACCCATGTGTCTCTAAACCCAGGAAAAACAGTAGTTTAAATGCCAGGCAGAGGCTGATGCAGCTGAGCTAGACATCTGTGCAACAAGCATTACTTTAGAGCAAAAACATCCTTCTCTTTGGTGGGATGGGATCTGAATACCAACCACTACCTGTTTCAGTACACAGAATAGGTCCATTGGTATAATTCCCTTGGAGACTTGAGCTGACAGTGCCCACTCTAGTAGCCAAGCCAAGAACTGAGGAGCACATCATCAAAATATCAGGCAGAACTAAAGCAAACCCCATGCTACCCTTGAGCCACACCTTTGTAACCACACAGACATTCACTAGAAGAACAAACCTAAGTGTCAAACTCTGTCTGGGTTATGCACCCAAAGCAATGGAAGTGCACCTGGAGCTTCACTACCCTACAGGCCCATTAGCTACTTTCATTCCCTTGTCAAATCTAGGCATAAAAAGTTATCAATCACTCTTATCATTAATTACTCCCAGGGAACACAGACAAAGAAAATAGTGCTGCAAACAGATTTATAATGACACATTCAGGAGCCACAAAGAGGGATTTGTGCCCATTCTGGATTATTAAGTATCACACATTCCTAATTTTTCAGTGAAGACTAGTCCTATAGATGGATACTTTAGAAGTAATAAATGATGCAATAACTCTTATGGGAGATGGATAGGGAAGAAAACTCAGTGCTGTATCTCAGCTAGGAATCATTTCTGTAAGCAAAATCATATTCAATCATTGAGAAAAAATGCCTGGAAATGAAAGAGATCACAAAATTGCTAAGGTACAACCCCCAGGCAAGAAGCTCATACAGATCACCAATAACTCCCACTCTGGACTCTAGAAGCAAAATCAAATGGAAGAGGAAAAAAATGACAGGATGATGATTCAGTTGATAAGTTTCACTGCAGCTTCATGTGTTTAGAACAACACCACAGGATAGTTAAAACCAGCAAAACACTGAGTTCTCTTCTGCAGATGTAATGCCAGTCTTTAAGCTGATGGAGTTGAGGAAAGGAACAGAGACTGCCAGTGAAGTCTTTAAAGGTTCCTAAGACAACTATTCTACCTTAACTGAATCAAATGGCATTAAGCGACCATAAAAATAAAGGACTAAGCTTAGAGACTCCCCAATCTTCATAGGGGAGATGCTCCAGTGCTCTTAGCAACTTGGTGGCCTCCTCTGGACTTGCTCCAACAGTTCCATGTCCTTCTTATGTTGAGGACACCAGAACTGTGTGCAGTGTTCCAGGTGGGTCTCACCAGAGCAGAGGGGGAGAATCACCTCTTTTGACCTGCTGCCCACACTCCTTTGGATGCAGCCCAGGATTTGATAATGTATCACATTAAGTAACTTTTTAAACTCCTTCTCTTCATTTTTAGGAGAAAATAAAGCTTAAGCAGACATTATCTGTATAGCAAGTTAAAAACTCCACACTTGAGACAGACAGGTTGGAGCAAGTGTGAAGGTAGTTGACTAAGGCTGATAAACTGCTTTACACAGGGATTGGGAGAAATCAACTTCCTTTTCATTATGCTAAACAGATTAGAACACCAGTAAGCTCATACTTTATACCTTCATGCATGCAAAATTACTTCTGTCACTACACTGCTCTCCATGACAGACAAGCTTAAATTAGAAACAAATACCTCTTTGGATAAAGCCAACTAATCACTGGGAGAAAATGGGAGATTTCCTTTACTTCAAATATTTAAATAAAGATTAGCTGCCTGTTTAAAACAACTATTATGGGTTAAATATAATTTATGAGCTTAATGCAGCTATTACTGCATATAATTTGATTACTGCCTATGCCATCAAATGTCATTTGTCCTCAGGACACCAGACTGAGATACCATTGAAGTCCACCAGAATTTAAATCACATTACCAGTGTTCTGTGTCAGGCAGACACACCACTGTTTCACACTGACAGCTATATACATTTCTAATCTCCTAGTTTTAGTTAGAGCTGTTTAACAAATGAAGAGGCAGGGAAGTTAAACCTTGGAATTATTCAGGGATCAGCTGAGAAACTGGTAGGGTCTTGCAGAGACTGTTCCTTACACACAACCAGCTGAAGCACTCCGATGAGAGTCCCGTGGAATTTCATTCCACCAAGCTCAGGTGCTGCTGCCTCTTTACCACAGCCTGACCAGTGACCTCATGGACTGAGTCACAGCTCTGCTGGGTGCATGTTTCAAGCAGTTCTAGACTGCAGTCCCTGTCAGGCTCCCATGTAACTCACCCTTGGCCCTGGTGCTCTGTGTCACATTTCCAAGGCAGCTCTGGGAGTTGATTTTCCTGCGGCACTTTTTTGGCTCTGAGTTAGCTCCATTCACATACTGAGAAAAGCCTTTTTCTAACCGCTCCAGTTTGATTTGCACAGAATCTTTTATTTTTAACCTTTCCAACTGCCTGAAGTAGAAAGGACAATAATTCATCCTTACACAGTGCACATACAGATGGTCAGATCAGCAATAAATACAACAACACACCATGGAACAAAGATAAGAAATATGTTCACAGTACAAGTAGCATTTCTAGCGTGCAGATTCCAGGACCTGTTCCTGCTCTGTGCTGCCTCTGTGAGTACCCACACGCTGTGCCAGAGGAAGTCTGACCAAGCCTCTCCCTTCTGAGATGCTTTCCATGTTGTTTCTCATTATTTTTTCCATTTGGTAGGATATTTCACATTTCTTCTTAAGGGTTTCACTTAGAATTTCAAAAAGCTTCAAAATTGTTGAGCTCTTTCCAAGAATAAAAATGAAAAAGATAATTTCTGTTTTGAAACCTGAGGTGGAAAGCCCCCAGTCAATAGCTGCAGTTGGGAGATACCAGAAAATGAAAAGGCTGGTTAAAATAATATAAAGAAACAGCATTTCCCAGGCTCAATTTCAGTGAAACAACCACTCTCCCTTTGCCAATGCTCATCTTCTCTCCTTTCACCATGTGTTACAACCAGTCCATCCTAATTCCTAGGGTGAGTGGCATGCAGGCCAGGAGATGGGCATCATCCTAGTGAGAGCTCTGATACTAAGAATGTAAGTTGTTTGAATTATTAAATAAATTGGTTTTATTCTTTCCTAGAACTCCTTTAAGAGACTACAAAATCAACCTGTGGTCACAAAAATTGGCTGGTTTTTAACATAGTTGTGGCTTCTTCTTGGTCTTTTCACCAAACCAGTTTGTCATAGAATTTGAGTAAAAATTTTATGGCTTGTGGGAAAGGAAGAAGAAAGTTCTGTAAGGTCCCTCTGAATTAACCTGTGAAGTTCATCTGGCCAGAGAGCAATGTCAGGAACACATGATCAAAGAGTTCATATCAAAGAGTTCAAACATTGGAAACTTGTCTGAAAGACACTAAAGTTGGCAAAAGCAACAAAAACCTTGCCCATAACTACATCCTCACACAGTGTGAGCTGCCGGTTACTGAGTCTACAAGCTCTTACTCTTCAAAGAAAAAAGCTCCTGTCAGCCATGGAAACAGTAACTATTATTAATAAATGAATCCATCTTTTAAATGCTGAATACACATTGTCATTTCCTCAAGATGTAAAAACTTTGATGTATTTAGCAGACAAAGAGAAGAAAAGAGAAACACCTGAATGCTTTAAGGCACAGCAAGTCACACTTCAGTCACAACTGCTAAGATTAGATACAACACAAGAGACATTTCACCCCCAATACTGGTAACAAATGTAATCTTACCGGTTTCTCTGCTGAAGGGATATTAAGTAGTCATCATGTTTTTCATCAAAGTCAGTCACCATGTCTTAATATAAAGCTGAAATGAGAATATAATTGCCACTGAATTATTATGGAGCACCACTGGCTTTTCACCCTCTCAGTAGACGAGAGCACTATAAGCTGAAAAATGTTCCTCCTTCAACAAGGCATAAAACTGTCAGGGCAGTAAATAAAGCTCCTGAGGAACAGAGGGAAGGGTACTCATTTCACTTATTTTTCAGAACCCTTCACAATCGACTGAGGAACCTAAAAATAAAGTGGAAGATATATGCTATAAGGAGTTTAGAATCCAAGCAAACCCGGGGCCCAGGCTGAGGGGCTCAGAGCCAGCTGTGGGACAAACTGCTGTCGCTCGTGAGGGGAGGCAGTTCTGTTTTATCGCTGCAGGAGCTGTGCACACCCAAAGTGTTTAATCACACACTTCACCTGCCTTTCAGCAACTTTCCTAGCACTCCCCACCAAGTCCCGCAGAGTCGCTGCTGCGAATTGCGCTAGGATCCTTCCCTACGCACTCAGAACTTTCAACGTGCTGCTAACACATTTAATTAGCTTTGGGCCGAACCAAAACAAGGACGAAGCGTTTTACCTCGGGATCCAACACAGGACCCATGCACTTTGCCTCTCAGGGAGCGCAGAGTGTCCGTGCCGGACCCTGCCCCGTCCCGGCAGCACAAGCAGCGCCACAGGCGCCGCTCCC